ATCCAAAAAGATATGTGCATACCGATGTTCACAGTAGCATTTTTCCCAGTGGCCAGGACATAGAAGCAACCGAAGTGTCCTGTGATAGATGATTGGTTAAAGAAGCTGTGGTATATATATAGAATATTAGAATATTATTCAGCCATAAGAAGAGATGAAATACTGCCATTTGTGATAACATGGATGGGCCTTTAGATAATCATGCTAAGTGAAATAAGCCGGACAGAGAAAGTTGAAAACCACATGATAGGTGGGATATGTGGGATATAAACCAAAAAGAAACAAAGAAACATGACAAACAAACAGAGGTTCATGGATACAGGCAATAGACCAGTGGTCACCAGAGGGTGGGTGGGAAGGGGGAAGTAGATGGGGTAAAAGGGCTCAAATGTGTCATGACAGAAAAAAATCTAACTATGGGTGGTGAACACTAATGTGTATAATATATATATGTCTTACTGTTTAATTATACACTTGAAACTTACTAAATTTCGTTAACCAATGTCACTGTAATAAAAAAATAAAAAAAGAAAGGCTTTGAAACAAATTAAAAATAAATAAATGACAAGATAGATATTAAGTAAGTTATCTTACTTTGCACTTCAAGGAACTAGAAAAAGAACTAAGCTCAAAGCTCGCAGAAGGAAGGAAATAAAGATCAGAGCAGAAATATATCAAATAGAGAATATGAAAACACTAAAAAAAAAAATCAAAACTAGGAGTTCTTTTTTGAAAAGATAGACAAACTCAACAAACCCTTATGTAGACTAAGAAATAAAGAGAAGACTCAATATCAGAAATGAAAAAGGAGACCTTACGATGAATGCCTCACATAAAAAGGATCATAAGAGACTATTGTGAACAATTATATGCCAATGAATTGTATAACCTAAAAGAATGAATAAATTACAAGACACACATAAACTATCAAGATAGAGTCAAGAAGAAATAGAAAGCCTAAACGAACCAATAATAAATAAGGAGATTGAATCAGTAATCAAAAACTTCTCAAGAAAGAAAATTTCAAAACCAGATGGCTTAACAGGTGAATTGTGCCAAACATTCAAAGAAGAATCAAAATCAATTTTTCTTACACTTCCAAAAAATAAAAGAGAGGGAATACTTCCATATTCATTTTATGATGTCAACATCATCCTGACACTAAAGTCAGTTGAGACACCACAAGAAAATAAAACCACAGGCCAATATTTCTAATGAACACAGATGCAAAAATTCTCAATAAAATACTAGCAAACTGAATTGAACAACATATTAAAAGGCTCATACACCATGACCAAGTGGGATTTATTTCTGGGATGCAAGGTTGGTTAAATATAAACTAATGAATGTAATAGATTGAAAATCACAATATTGTCTCAAAAGACGCAGAAAAAATCTTTTTGCAAAATTCAATAACCATTCACGATTAAAAACTCTCAAACAACTGAGTACAGAAAAACTTAGAACAACAAAATTAAGGCCACATATGAAAATCCCACAGCTAATATCATAATCAGTGGTTACTGAAAGCTTTTCCTCTTAGATCTGGTACAAGGTAAAGATGCCCACTCTCACCACTTCTATTCAACATGGTATTGAAAGCCCTAGCCAGAACAATTGGACAAGAAAAATAAGAGGCATTTAAACTGGAAAAGAAGTAAAATTATCTATTGGCAAATGACATGGTCACATATGTAGAAAACCCTGAAGATGCAAAACCAACAACAATTCTATACACAATCAATCAAAATCAACTTCTTATAAAGGAAATTAACAAAACAACTCCATTTACAATAACAACAAAAAGAATAAAATACTTAGAAATAAACTTAACCAAAGAAATGAAAGATTTGTACACTGAAAATTACAAAATATTGATGAAGGAAGTTAAAGAAAACAGGTAAATGGAAAGACATTCTGTGCTCATTGATTGGAAGAATTACAACTGTTAAAATGTCCATACTGCCCAAAGTGATCTACAGATGCATTGCAATCTGTATCAAAAAGACCTCGAATAGCCCAAAGTAATCTTAAGAACAAAGCTGAAGGCCTCATACTTCCTCATTTCAAAACACTTACAAAGCTACAGTAATCAAAACAGTATGCTACTGGCTATTAAAAGAGATATGGAAACAGAAAAGGAAGGCCAGAAATAAATCCAGACATATGTGGTCAACTAACCTTCCACAAGGGTGTCAGGAATGGGAAAAAGATAGGCTCTTCAATAAATGGTATTGGGAAAACTAGACATTCACAGTAAGAATGAAATTGGACCCTTATCTCACACCACATACAACTTTAAATGGTTTAAAGACTTAAATGTAAGGTCAGAAACTCTAAAACTACAAGAAGAAGACACAAGGAAAATGGTATTGGTCTTGGTAATGATTTTTTTTTGGATATGATATCAAAAACACAATCTACAAAAGCAAAAAAAAAAAAAAAAGAACAAGTGGGACTGCATCAAACAAAAAAGCTTCTGCACAGCAAAGGAAACCATCAACAAAGTGAAGAGGCAACCTATAGAATGGGAGAGAATATTTGCAAGCCATATATCTGATAAAGGGTTAAATCCAAAATACATAAGGAACTCCTACAACTCAGTAGCAAAAAACAAAACAAAACAAAACAAACCCAAATAACCTAATTAACAAATGAGCTAAGGAACTGAATAGACATTTTTCAAAAGATGACGTACAGATGGCCAACGGGTACATGAAAAGGTGCTCAACATCACTAATAATCAGGGAAATACATATCAAAATGACAAGGAGGTATCAATTCACACCTGTTAGGATGGCTATTATTTAAAAAATCACAAGAGATAAGTGCAGAAAAGGGAACCCGCATGCATCATTGGTGGGAATGTAAATTGGTTCAGTTACTACGGAAAACAGTACTTGTATTCCAGAAAAAAGATTTTCATCCCCTAATTACTGCATAACTACTCAACTTAATTGTCTACTTTTACTTCTGAGTCTATCTTAGATACAGTAGCTCCAAATGCTTAGAAATAGGGTACTGTAAATATGGTGTCAGAGCTGGAAAAGTTATTCAAGGATGCCCAATGTCAAGCTCCCTCCTTTGAAAGAAATAATAAAAGAGAGAAGATTTTCTGAGATCACACATACGTCACATTGCTCTGCAGCTTAGGGGGAAGTCACCCTTCACCCTATAGGACACTCTGGTGAATTTGGGAGCAGAGAAGTGTAAGAGAAGGGAACAAATACCAGTTGAGGCATAAGCAAATCAGGGATGGAAGTTGACATAGAAATACAAAGGAAAGAAGGAAAGATAACAATTTCTTTTCACGGGACACCTTGGGATACTCTTGATAACTCCATCTAGACAAAAGAATGAAAGGATTATGAGTCTCCAATTCAATTTCTTACTTCACATTGCCCTTTGATAAACAGAAACTTTTTCTCAATGCAATTTGACTTTTTATTACTTCATATAATGCTTTCATTACTCTTGTGGACAGTGTAGAAACTTTTATAAAGTCATTGACTTGATCAAGTCACAAAACAAATACAAATGAGAAACCATAACTCTGATTTTCCTGCATCCCAGCCATGGTCATGATTTATGTCAAATACATTTTAGGTAGAACATGACTGAGGGAGTTGCTGAGAAACTGTAGTAGACTTCTTCACGAGTCTAAACTTTTTCTGGGCATGTGGCGAGAGATTAGATGCCAAGTCAGGTTGGGCACCATTGGAATTGACTGAGGAAGACTTAGATGACCAAGCTTACTGCTGACTTCTCTGCCTTCCTTTTTAGCCCAAGATTGAGAAATGAAGACCAGTTTGGTATTTTTCTTTTTTACAGTCAGTAGTAGCTTCATGGTTTCTACATCCATATCATTTATTTGAAGCCTGAGGAAAATACAGAGGGAGAATTCTGTGAATACTACACATTGTATTTTGACTTTGTGGCATCAACGACTCATTCCCCATATGTTAATCTTTGGGTATTCTTGGGAGTCTCTCATGTGACCTCTGAGGAAAAAGGAAAATCTGGTCTAGATTGAAAACCCTCATTCTTAAAGTAGACAGAGTGGTCTCCATTAAGCATTGATGAGGCAAGAATTCCACTTGGAGTACAGATTCAAGTCAACATGAACTACATAGGTACCGTGCAACTCAATGCTCAATACTTAACATGCACATGCAATTATATCCTCACAACAGATGATACCATGAGTGATTTTACAGACTACAACACCAAAGGTCAAAGTTTTTAACTAAAATATGTTTACATGGTTAATGTATAGAGGGCCACTTATCCAGAGCCCATGATCATCACATTGTACCCAATTTCTTCAAATCAAAGAGGGGGATTCAGAGTCACTTTTGTTTCCTTTGTGCCCTCTCTGCATGTGAACATTTCAGTTAGCGTGTAGATACAGATACCATTACAATCTGAAATATATTTATTTCTCCAATTTACTTTTATTGAGCACCCAGGTTGTAAGGTATAACATTGAAGTGGGGAATACTTATCATCATGGAACTTACATTTTAGTGAAAGGAGATGGACAATAGGAAGAATAAATACTTATGTCTATGAGGATTAAGATCCAAAGCACATAAAGAACCCATACGACTCAATAGCAAAAACAAAACAAAACAAAAAAACTCGGTTAAAAAATGGGCAAAGGACCAAAACAGACATTTTCCCAAAGAAGATATTAAAATTTCCAACAAATACATGAAAAGGTACTCGACATCACCAATCATCAAGAAAATGCAAATCAAGGAGAAAGAAAAAAGGGGCATAAATGATAGAGGCTTTGTTCATTCCTCCTGTGACCAAATCAAAGTTGTGACAGAAACACAGAGCAAACAGCAAGGAAAGTTGACTGGGATCTAGATAAACAGAAGCACTACAAGTAGGGAGAAAAATAATTAATCAGCCTACAGTGGTAGAAGGTAGGAGGGGTGGCTAAGTGGGACAGAGACTATGGCAGCAGCAGCTGGCAGCTGCAGACACCTCTTAACGGGGCTGTGTCTGTGAGCAGACTTTTGCAGCAACAGATCTGCTCACTCTGAGCACCAGTGCTGGGTTAGTTGCACAGAGGGCACCAGGGACTTCCAAGAGAGACTCTGAGTTGTCGGAGTGAGGGCCGGAGGTGAGGCTGTCTTCCAGGCAGAAGTGCCAGAGGTGTCCATTGTTCCTCTGGTGAGCCCACCTCCCTCCCAGTGTGAGGGTGTATAGATGAACTCAATGAGAATTTTAACAAAGAGATCAAAAAACCCATAAAAAATGGAAATGGAAACTATAAAAGGGAGCCAGTCAGAACAAAGAACACATCTGAGATGAAGAGTATATTAGATAGAATAAACAGAGTGGATAAAGAAGAGGGTTGAACCACCGATATACAGGATGGGGAAGATAGTCAATAGAATGGCAAGAAAAAAGCAGCCAAGACTATAATTATAACTTAAGGATCTATGGGACACTATTAAATGTAAAAATATCTGTGTCATAGGAATATTGGAAGAAAAACAAGATGTTGAGAACTATTTGAAGAAATAATGATGGAAAACTTTCCTAACCTGGTGAAGGAAACAGACATAAAATCCCATGAAGCTCAGAGAGCCCCCCAAACTAGGAACCCAAAGAGGCCCACACCAAAACACATCATAATTCAAATGCCAAATGTTAAATACAAAGAGAGAATCTTAAAAGCAGCAGGAGAAAAGTGGTTAGTTACCTACAAGGGAGCACCCATAAGAATGGCAGGTGATTTCTCAAAAGAAACTATGCAGGACAGAAGGGCTTGATACATAATATTCAATGTGCTGAAAACCCAGGATGTACAACCAAGAATACCTTATCCAGAAAAACTATCATTTGGAGTCAAAAGACAGATAAAGAGCTTCCAAGACAAAATAAGCTAAAAGAATTTATCGATGCCAAGTTAGCATTACAGGAAATGTTGGAGGGACTTCTTTAAGAAGAAAAAACATGTATCGAAAACAAGAATAAAAATGGTAATAACTACATTTCTATCAACAAGTATCTCAAATGGAAAAGAATTAAGTGCTCCAACAAAAAGATAGAGTGGCTGAATGGATAAGAAAACAAGAGCCCTACATATGCTGCCTACAAGAGACTCACTTCAGATTAAAAGACACACACAGACTAAAAGGAAGAGGATAGAAAAAGATATTGCCTTGATGGACCTAGATAGTATTGTGCTGAATGAAATAAGGCATGTGGTGAAAGACAAATATCACATTATTTCACATACATGTGGCGTCGAAGGAAAAAAATAAATAACAACAATAACAGAAACAGAAATAAACATAGATACAGAGAATATTTTGAGGGCTACTAGATAGGATGGGGGTTGTGGGAATGGTGAAAAAGGAGATTAAGAAGTACAAATGGATAGATAGTTGCAGAATAGACATGGAGATGTTGAGTGTAGCATGGGGAAGATGGTTAATGTTGTAATAAATATGTAAAGGGGAAGAAGGGTATTAGGTTTAGTGGGGTGATTGTGAGTTATGTGGATCTCTGATCAGTACGCTCAACTGAAACTGGTATATTATCATATGCCAACTATAATTGAAAAAAAAACCTCATTGAATTGTACAATATAAATACGAGCAACTAATTGTCTATTATATTTCAATAAAACTGGAAAAAATGTAAATTGAAACAAAAAAGAAAATGCAAATCAAAACCACACAAAGTATCTCACAGCTGTCAGAATGGCAGTTATCAAAAAGACAAGTGGTAAGTGCTAGCGAAGATATGGAGAAAAGGGAACTTTTGTGCACTGTCAGTGAGAATGGATTTTGGTGCAGTCACCAAATCTGTGGTAATTTGTTACACAGCAATAGTCACCAAATACAGAAAGGCAGAGGATTTTTGCTCTATGAGAAAGCATTGAATGGCCCAGGATTTAAAGCTACACAATGACATCCTGAAAATGGACTCCCCCCCGCCCTTTTCTAGTAATAAAAGATACATCCAAGCAGGAGAAAGTAGGAAGATGGGATTAAAAATATCGTATATTTAAGTATTTCCTATGCTAAGCATGACAAGTCATACCAACTGTCACTTTTTACTCAGCATCGACTGGGTCCTCTGGTCTAAATACCCTATGGATATTTTTAACATTCCAACAGAGACCATTCTTATTCTTTTAGGTATTTGAAGCTGGAAACATTTGTCATCATCTTGCATGTCTGTCTTGGACCACCCATCTCAACATGGAATTGTCCCCATCACCAAGGAAGATAAGAGTCCAACTTACCCAACTGTCTGAAGTATACAATCTGGGTGTCCCAAGCTCTCTAGAAGTTTCACAATTCCCTCATCACCCAACTTATTTCCAAGCAGATTGAGTTTTTTCAGAGTTTTGCTGCTCTTAAGAACAAAGGTGAGAGATGCATAGCAGGCACTGGTTAACATACACTCTTCCAGCCTGTAGTAATGAGATGCACAGTGATATTGGGCCCCATCCTTGGAGAGGCATGGCAGGTAGAGCACATGGGTGTGAACTCTTTTACCAAATATCTGCACAAGTTCTTGACAAAATAACCTGCCAACCCATAGAGCAGCCTTTCAAACACCAGATCGTTACGTCTGAGAGTTTTCATTTCTCAACCCACTTCCTTTTATCCCTTAAGTTTTTCCAAACTCCAAACAAGGAGCTTCCCTCCACCCCCAGAGACCTACCCAATGTTCTCTAACTTGCAGCTGGGATGTTTCAAAGCATTACACAGCACCTCCATTCCTGAATCCCCTATATTGTTGCTCCCGAGCTCCAGGCTCCTGAAGTTTGGATTATTAATCATAGCTGAAGCAATATGTTGACAGACATCATTGGTAAAAAAGCAACCAGAAAGCCCGCAGAAGAGAAATATGAGATGGAATCACGACCACCTTTCTCAAAGGTTCGATATCATGAAGTGATAAATATTCTTGTACCTCTCTCATGATGTCCATGAACAGGGGACTCATTGTGGGGACAAGAGCAATATTGTTTATAGAAAATTTATATCAGCAGTATTCAAGGTTGTTAGTCATATTAACTCACACAGTAGTCACAGGGCTCTTGTCATCCTGATTTTACAAACAGGAAAGCCAAAGCCAGAACACTAAGTGTTGTCTAAAGACACAGATGACATTTTTAATCCATGTTTTTGTGACACTGAGCTTGAGCTCCAAAGAGTTATTTTAGGCAATCACTTCCATTGTTCATTTTTCTGCCTTCCCGTACTCATGTCAAAAACCAATGTCACTGAGAAGAACTGAACATATCATTTTTATAACTAAGAGCATATCACATGGCTCTTCCTCTCACTCAGAGGAAGTCCTTACAATTGCTCATATGCTCCTTTGTGATCTGCCACTTCATGTCCCTTCTTCCACATTGTCTATTACTGCAGTTCTACTCACTGCCTCACCACATTGGCCTTCTTAATATACCTTGAGCAAAGCAGGCTGTTCCCATGTTAGCGCCTCTACTCTGGCTATTTATTTTGCTTGAAGACACCCCTCTGTTGATCTGTATGACCGTCTCTTAATTCCTCCAAGTTTTTGCTCAAATTTCCTTGACACCAAGGGTTACGTTGACTGACTTTGCTTAAGATGGCCACACTCCACCATTAGCACTCCTGAACACATATGCTGATCTACTTTAACAAAATTTTAAAAATTTCATAGCAATTTTTACTATCTGATGCAAGAGTTGACAACTTTTTCCTATGAAGGGCCAAATAATATTTTACACTGTATGGACCACACAGCTTCTGTCACAATAACTAAACTTTGCCATGGTAGCACAAATGCAATTCTAGACAACATGTAAGTGAATGGTTGTATTCTAATAAAACTATATTTACAAAAACGAGCAGAGGGGGCAGATTGGGCCCCTGGGCCACAGTTTGCTGGTCCCTGGTCTAACACAATGCATGGTTTACTTATGTCTTGTTTGTTTTCTATCTCCTCAAGCCAACACAAAATCCATTAGGAAATGGATATTTGTTTTGTTTACTGAGGTATCCCAACCACCTACAAGAGTCATAAAATAGTGACATTATGGCCCCTGACTCCTGCACTAGATCACTTAATAGACGTGTCAGAAAATAACCAAAACTATGGCCTAGGACTGATCTTAAATTTCTTTCTACTTTGCAGTTATAATCTAAATCCATGGTTCTATCTAATTTGGTGTGACCAATACATATTCAGTCATTGTTTGTTGAATACTTGGAGACTGAAGCAGATACTGGGAAATCCAGTTTATTCATTCAATAGTTATGGAGCATCGAAGGCTTGCCAACTACTGTTGTAATTTTAAAATAAAGATAACATATATCTGTTATCTTTATTTTAAACTTAGAGGGACGGGAATTATGATGAACAATGCAGGGTTTTATTGGCCCTGTGACAGCTCCAACATAGGTTAGGGTAGGCAATAGAAGAAATAGAAAGTTATAGTAAAGGTGCCTTTGGAAGGGTGACAGAAGAGAGCTTGGAATCTATAGCAGACTACAGCCTATGAGCCAAATTGGGCCAACTTACTGCCCTTATAAATAAAGTTTTTTGGAATGCAGCCATATCCACTCATTTATGTATTATCCATGGCTGCTATTGAGGTATAACAGCTAGGTTGAGTAGTTGTGACAGAGACCACATAATCCACAGCCCAAGATATTTACCATCTAACTCATAACTGACAAAGTGTACAGTATTGAGTCAATTTACCTCAAACTACTGAGCACAAAGTAAAGGCCAAAGCAAGAAAAAATGAGAGTTATTTTCCCCCAGAATTTTCTGTTATCCTCAACCTGCCTATCCCCACAAAATTAGATAGAACCTTGGATTTAAATTATAAGTGCAAGGCAGAAAGAAATTCGAGATAAACGCCATATACCATAGTGTTGGTTATGTTATGATACAAACCTATGAAGGACTTGGTTCAGGAGGCTCACAGGCCACAGTGTTACTGCTTTATGAACAGGAGATGGTCTAGCTTTCTCATATTTATGAGCCGAAAAAAAGAAAAAGACATTCGAGATGGAACATTTTCAAAGAACTACTTCAAAGTCAATAACTCTAAAGAATAAACAAAATTTAAAAACTTTTCAGACAAACGACAGCTCAGCATCTCTGGAGGAATATGAAAAAGTTGCCTGTTTAGCATCATGGAGGACAAACACTCAGAAGGCTGGAGAAGGCTATTAATTATTTCATCCTGGAAATTTTGGTCAAAGGCCATCCCAATCCAACTGAGTTAGCTTCACAGAGAGGCATAGTATTATTGGCCCATATTAGTGGCTCAGGCATGACCACCTCCACCAGCTGTACTCCCAACATACCCCTTTTCCAATGTCTATTTCTCAATAAAGATGCCCTCACTAAAGCCTGCTTCAAAAGATGTTGCCTTCCCCACAAATGTGTAAGCCAGGTCAGAGCTGAGTCTCTGGATGCCCTCCTTCTGCAGCACCTCCCCATGGCATGTCCAGCTGGGCCTGGCCCAGGAACACCTCTCCATGTGACGAACGACAATCTAAGGGATTTTGCAGATTCTGCTATTCTCAGCTAAAAGATTTTGCCAGAAAAAATCTTACCCTGCTCTTATGCTGCATACTGTAGAGAGCACACATTCTCACATCCCTTATATAACACTTGTCATCCCTGACACCACTGTCAATGACTTTTCTCATTTCTGTTGCCAGCACCACTCAAAACCCTTACATGGTAGCAACAGTCATCCAAGAAAGCCACGGCAAGACTTACTCCAGCTCCTGTAATTGACAGGTTGGAAACAGTAAGGGCAGAGTTAGAACCAATACTCCATGATTCTGTAGGTAATTTGCACTCAGATCTAGATGTTTCAGAGTCTTGCTGAACATGAGGGCTCTCCCAAGGGAGCTGCAACAGTTTTTAGTGAGACAACAGAAGAGTAGCCTGCGTGGAATTACAAGGGAAAAAAAAGCACTGAGTCAATAACACAGTTTAACTGTGTGAAAGAGGATCATATCTGACCATCTGTCCCAAATCCACACATGTCTCTATGCCTTCTGCTGGATAGCCCAGATCTCTATCCATAAATTTCTTCCTGGGAAGAAAAATTTGAAAGACCTGAAATAGTACAGAGAGGGAGACATGGGGCTGGATAATATAGAATGGGGCATGAAAAAAATCAAACTCCTACTAATTGGATAACCTTATAGAAATTACTTCTACAACTTGGTATCCTCATTGTTCGATATATTTGGTTACATTTAATCCACCTATTCTTTACAGTTTTTAAATTGCATTATTCTAAAGGGGTGACTTTGCTGCTTACAACATAGGAACTGTGGAAATTTTTGAAAACAGAGGAAAGGTAAACACAGAAGGCATTCCTAATGCCTTTTGGTCCTAGATTTGAAATGTACTTTGTAGTATACACAGTTTAAATTTTAATTTTCTCCCATTAATCAGAAGTTTACTCATTTCCAACCTGGATCTCTAGCTTCTATGTAAAAAAAAAAAAAAAAAAAAGCTGGCAAGGACCACACCAGGTTTTTGTTCTCACATGAGAAAAAGGCATGCAAAACACATCCTAGGGATTGAATCTAGTTATCTGCTTGTTTTGTACAGCTATCAGCTAAGAATGGTATTTATGCTTTCAAATGATTGAAAAAAATTTAAAGAAAAATGTTTCATATCTAAGTGCCCTTCAACAAATGATTGGATAAAGAGGTGGTGGTATATACATACAATGGAATATTACTCAGCCATAAGAAAAGATGAAATACTACCATTTGTGACAAAATAAATGGATCTTGAGGTAATCATGTTAAGTGAAATAAGTCAGACAGAATAAGTTGAGAAACATATGTTTTCACTCATTTGTGGGATATTAAATTGAAAGCAAAAAACCAACAAGACAGACTCATGAGAAGGTACATTTTTAATGCATTGCTTTTATTACACTTAAAAATGTACTGGGCTACTTAGTCTCTTTTGTTTCCTTTAGTATTTTTGTAGTTTTATGCCTTACTTTTGCCATATTTTCCCCATCTTTTGCCATGTCTCAACCATGTGAGATAGTCTGCTTTTCTAGCAACTTTTCCAGAACAGAGAAAAAGATTCTCTTATGTAATTGGAACAAATAAGAAACATAGACACAGCCCATCGTCTGCCAACCTGAAAGAAGTAGAAACTAGAAAACAGAAGTCCCTATTTCAAGGCAATCTAGCACCATACCTTCTTCTTTCCTTGGCATTCTTCCTTGTGCTCTCAATAACATCACATCCCATGAGACATCAATCATAGTTACTTATTGTTAAAGTAACTATAAATTTCCTGTTCTTATCAAGTCAGTTGCTATGGCCCAGATATGTTTGGAACCTACCTGGCACCATATTTAACTCTCTCCCCAAAGACAGAAGATTGAGAGTGTTGTGACTCCATCCCATGACAGTGAGATGCAAGCTGAGAAAAGCTACATATATTTTTGCCAACATTGTGGTGAAAATTGGTTGCCCAACAAGAATAATAACACAGATACTCCAAGAAGTGCAAACTAAAAGACAAACAAACAAAAATAGTGAAATACCAAAAAAAAAAAAGTATGATAACTCAGACCTGGCTGACTCTAAATACCATGTTTTCAGCCACTATACTTTCTCTCTCATTATGTTTTGACCACAAGCTTGGACATTAATGCTCAGGACCAAACTTCTACATAATGGGCTTATCTAAGCTGGCTTACACCAGTGACTCAAGACCACAGTCTGGATGGAGCAAAGCATCACATAGGATTTTCACCCCATTGTTCTTCAGTGGGTTTTTGGATAGGGTCAGTTTCTTCAGCTTGCTGCTGATGAGGAGAGAGGCGATTTCTTTACATGCATGAGTTTCCAAGTCACATTTCGTCAAGCTATGAGAAAAATACACAGAGATAAAATGAGGCTGCCCAGTTTCCCAGGTCATCCCACTTTTAAGGAAAACTAACTCCAAACAAGTGAGAGGTCACCTACTTAAAATGGGCAATGAATGGATCCTCCTGAATCTAAATCTTGCCCTGTGCCAGTTCTCAAAGTTCACACTTGGGTAAGTTTGAAGATATGCATGGGCGGTTGGTTCTTCACCCTCTTGCAACGTCTTCACATGGCATCCATGGCTGTGCTTCAGAACTCAATAGCAGGGATCAAGTAACTCACCTGATCAGGACACTCAGCTTACCATCACATTTCAAGCGACTTTCAGTGTTTTCTCCTATATAGCCTATAATGACCTGCGTAATCTGGCTCTCAACTACCTTACTGGCTTTGTCTAATTTTCTACTCATTGCTCATACTATGCCATCTGCCTGTCTCCTCACTCTTTCTTAGGTTCTCCAAGCATATTCATATGTTGGCTCTCATGCTCCTGCTGTCATTTCTGATTAACATGCTTCCTCCAGATATCTGTGTGGTTCTCTCTCACTTCCTTTAGCTTGTCACTCAAAGTTCACTTCTTTAGTGAGGACTTTGCTGACCATCATATAGTCAACTAACCAATACTGTCTACCATATTTTAGGTATTATGCTAGGTTCCTAGGATACAATAAAGAAACAGAGGAAATATGATGGAATTCTAGAGGGCGTAAATAAAGAAATGACCAATTGTGTAATGTGTCTCGTAAGTGGTCAGTTCTATTTAAAAAAAAAAAGGGATAAATTGTAGAGAAAGGAAAGGAGATGTTCAACTTTTATATGAAGTAGTTAGTGAGAGAAGTACCAACTAATAAAGTGGCATCTGAGCAGAAATGTGAGAGATGTGGTGGCATGCTCTGAATCTCTAGGGAAGAGAATTTCTGGTGGAGGAAAGGAGTAGGCTTGGTGGTTCAAAGGGTAAGTGAATAGAACATGAGTGGAAGACATGTCATAGTGTTAACCAGGGCCACCCATGGTGAAATGATGGGTTTTATTTTGAGTGAGAGTGGAAGCCATTTAAGTTTGGAGATCAAAGGGCAGAATCATGGCAAGATCTGACTTAAATTGAAAACTAAAGTTGCCCTTCTACTTTTTTTTCATGTATCAGGCAAAGGTGGGGACAGAGACAACAGACAGCAGGGTACTGGAATAGCTAAGATGAGAGATGACCATGGCTTGATTACCATGCAGAGCAGCAAATGAAGCAGCAAAGTAGTCAGGTGGATCCATTCTGATTGTCTACCTACCTAATTTGTCTAAACCACGCCACTAGAAAATCTATATCTGAAATGCCCATAAGATATCAAAGTAGAGACATTGAGAAGTTTGTTAGGTACAAGGCTGAAACCAGAAGAAATATACGGCTGTAAACAGACATCTAGGATGCTATAATGCCATGGAATGGAATGAGCATAGAGATAGAATGAGCATAGAGATAATACGTTTAGGATGAGCACAGAGAGCATAGAGATAGCATAGAGATAGAATGAACATAGAGATAGAATGAGCATAGAGATAGAACGAGCATAGAGATAATATGTTTAGGATGACTTTGAAACATCCTAATGATGTCTGTGGATCAACTTTTTCAATTGTATATTTTATAAAATCAAAATAAAGTGTTTATGATGGGAATTTAGCATGAGCAGAGATATTCTGTGAATAGAAAACACACAGTGGATTTTGAAGACTCAACGCTCCCCCCAACACCCACACAAAGAAGGTAAAATGTCACTAATAGTTTTTTATATCAATTACATGTTGATATAATTTGATATATTAGGTTAAGGTATATTATTGAAATTAATTTTGCCTGTTTCCTTCTACCTTTTTTTTTTTTTTTAAATGTGGCTACTCAAAGATTTCAAATTATCTTTGTGGCTTGCATAATATTTCTATCAGGCAGACTCTTAGCTTTGACCAGGCTGGTCTATACCCAAGAATGGGCAGAGAGGGTTGAGATCATTAGAGAACTATAAGTCAAGGGAATACAAAGTCACGTTAGAGAAAAGACCATCCACACAGAAATTGAAAGCACTCAGAATGACAGGAATAATGCTAGTGGAAGAGAAATGAGCCATGTGCTAAAAATCTTCAAGGAACATGGCATCCAGAAGTAGCAGGTAGTGTCACTCATACACATTGACACCCAGTTCTTCCCTTCATACACAATGAATGTTCAGCTGAGCAGTGACTCACCTCAGGTGCTGTATGCTGCACATTGAACTTTCTAAGACCTCATGCAGAAGTGAAAACATCTTTAAAGAAATAGGCATACAATTCAGACTCAAAATAGTAAGGTTCTGGTTATAAACAATAGCCTTGAATACGTCTTCAAATGTGGTGCCAACTGAGAGATAGGTCAACCTGCAGAAGATAAAATAGTGGGGGGGGGGCATTACACTCCAGTTTCCACAGTGTGCACACCTTCTCTGCAATTTTTTCTACCTGCCCTACTTCATTCCAGAACAGAGTCTGAGTGTTGACTATTTCTTTACACAGTACTCTCAATCTTAGATTCCCAGTCAGGTCAAATGACCTCTGCTAATCCCCAAATCAGGCTGCTGACTTGGAAATAATTCTCTGGGTCTTTACCTCATTGATCTTCCTCTAAGAGGTACCCATGAGTGATGCTGAGAAATCACACCCACCCCCATGCAAAACTGAGCCATGCTTCTATCTCTCAAGAGCAAAGATCATGACATGCTCATGGCTAATAGATCCACAGGATCTGGTGCGCATTAATAATTCAAAATTTTACTGAAGAAAAAATGTTGTCCCAGAGTCTCTAAGCACCTATCCTGAAGGAGAATACCCCTTCCCCAAGAGAAGAATGCCACAAATCAGGCAGATCCTGTCAGCTCTACCTCCAAAATAAATGCAGAATTAGATTATTTCTCTCCATCTCAACCTCTACCACCTATATGGGCCACCATTTTCTCTCTCCCAGATCCTCATAAGAGCCTTTTAATTAGTGTTTCTCCTTAAACCTTCCTCCCGTGAGCTTGCATCTATCCACAAGGATGCTGTTACACACAAGATCTTGCTCGTCTGCTCAAAGCTTTGAAATGGGTTTTCACTTAGAAAATCCAGCATCTTGAATGGACAACATGGCTCTTCAAGAGTGTCGGTCACCACCTTTCTAAGGGCCATATGGAGAGAAGAGTTAGGAACCCACGATGGCCCCCTGGGCCCACTGGTGGACTTGAGACTTCCAGGGAGGAAAGCTAATTATCTTTGAAGCAATTTGAAGTTAGTCATCTTTGAAGCAACTTGCTTTCTTTGTCCTCCTTTGCAATTAGGTGACAAGATGAACAGGTTAATGAGAGGCAAGCAGAAGTGACACAAAAAAAGAGCTCTGGAAAGGCTCCATAAAGGAAGCTCCAAAGCCAAGAGGTGTCCCTTTCCCTCTCTTCCCCCTTTTTCCTGCCTGGAAGGGATCATAATTGCTGGGGTTTCAATAGTCGTCATGGCCCAAAGTCATGTTGATCGAGGAAGCATTAAAGATGGCTGAGAAAAAGTACAAAGGGATTTAGTTCAAGATGAATCTGAAAGCGTATCTGTCATGGGCTTCTGACCTCCAGACTTTTCATGTGAGTGGAAAATTAAGCTTTGTTATGCTTAGGCCATTTTGGGGGTAGGTGTGGAAGGAGGTGGTTCTGTTGTATGTGGATGAACATAATGCAGAGTGTTATAGCTTCTACTTTTCAATGAGACAACTTGCATCAATTATCTTTTCCTGAAAAAATTATCATGAAATTCGGAGGTCCTCAGCCCTCCTCCCACCTTCCCTGCTTTAGGTACATGCATCAGAATTACTTTTATCACATGGGGTTATTATTTTCTTGTAATGCTCTCCCCCAGAGAAGGTAGCACTATTATTTCCAGAGGGATCTCCAAGGTAGGGTTTGAGATATCACCTACTTGAGTGTTCGAAGTTGACAGCTGGGATGTCTCAGGGCTTTACACAGAACCCTTTCTGAGGTATCATCAAGTTCGCTGTTACAAATTTCCAGCTCCTGGAGGTTCTCTCTGGTGTGAAGTAGATTGCAGATGTCTCTCCAGTAAACAAGGCTCTTCATTTTACTACATGGAGGAAAAATGTAATTCTTCAGCCATTTGGAAGATAATACATTTATTAAAATACCTTTTGAGGACCAGACTCAATATAAGGCAAGAAGAAATAAAGTTCGGCCAAGTGTGAAATGCAACACTCAGACTCACAAAAGTAGTTGGTGAGTTTGTAGATGGGCAAAACACAAGGTATTGAGTGTAGTGCCTTTGACTGAGAAGATGTGACTCTTAAGAAATATTAGTATTGATGGTAAACGTTGAATGGTCTGTGCTATTATGAATGTCTCTAAGTAATCTGCAAGAATTATTTCAGTTAATCCACACAACAGGTCTGAAAAACTAAGGTTAAACTGGTGGTTCTCAATTAGGGGCCATTTTTGACATTTGGCAAGGTCCAAAGACTGGGGGAGGAGATAAAGTTCTAATGGTGTCTAATATATGTGGGTGGGTGTCTACAAAACAGCTTAAAATTATTTGTACAGGACAGCAAAGAATTATCTGGCCCCAATGTCAACCCAGAAACCTTGAATTAAACTGAAGCAGAGAGATTTGAGACAAGATTGGACATAAAGTTCTGTATGGTCTTCGGTTTTGGTCTTGTGATGGTAAACAAGCAGTAGAACTATGGGCAGGTCTTAGGGATACAGGAAATACAAAAAATGTTAAGACTCACCTAGAAGTTAGCATCACATTAGGCTTCTTGTTTTCAAAGATGCATTGAATACTCAACCTAAGTTTCTGTAGAAAATGGCAGCACTCCAGACAATATGATGAAGCCATCAGATCTCTGTTGTTTTGAATGTAAACACTGGCTTCTGAAAAAGAATCCATGACTTGTTTCACAAATTCTTCCTCCTGATTCTAAAAGAGGCAATGAAACAAAGGTGTGTGGTGTTCCACGGCTTTTGAATTATTACCAAAACATTTCATTTTCTGTAGAAAGTATTGCCTGAGCTCTCCTGTCAATAAGTGACAGCCAAAGGATGTCTCAAGAATATTTCTTCTCTTCTCATTAAGAAGACCAAAAATGGAAGTAGTTATTGGACTAAAATCATTGTATCTTTCCCTTCTTTCTTTATATCTTTTACTGGCCGAGGGGATTGGGCACTTGGTTAATACCATCATGTATGCTATAGCTGCACAAAACTCCTGGATTTTCAAGTGTATAAATGTGTAATGATCTTTATGGTTACTGCTTGGCAAAAGTATCTTGAGGGTCTGCAATGTGGACACATCAGCACGAGTGAGCCCAACACATCTGAGGTCCTTCTCGCTAAAATGCAGTGTGTCATGGGACAGTCCTTCTAAAGCCAATGAACACAGACGTTCCAGTAGGACTAGGGGGTACCGATTAGCAGGAACTCCAGCCTCAAATGTCAGTGTATGGGCAAGAAAATGGGCATATATATCTGTGAGTGTTTGGCAGAAGTGTTGCAAATCATCCTCCATGTCCATCTGCCAATTGAGGGCAACGCAAGTGACCCAGCATAAGATGGGGACTTGGCACAGGTCCATGAACATTTCATCCTCTTGTACAAGCTTGAAGGCTGTCGTAGCCCTGTGACTGTCCTTGAAGAAGAAGGTAAAATACTTCTGCCTCATTTCATTGGAGAACTGCAGAGTCATAAACTTGTCTGTCGTCTTCATTAGTGCTCTTACAGCAGCCTCACAATCTGGCCTTGATGAGATGAGGAAGGAGCACCCTGGAGCCATCTTTCTCATCAGCAAACTGGCAAGCAGTTCCCATCCTGGCACCTGCTGCCTGCTGTCACCGCACAGAGCAGATTCGTTCATGTTGAGGTTGACTTCTATGTTGTCCAGGTCCTCGAGAATAAAGAGGAACTTCTGGGGATCAGAGAGGATATCTGCAATGGGAGCTTGGTCTTCGGGCCAGCCCTTGGAGATCAGATCCACCAAGCTGCTATTGGCCATCTGATTGATTTCCTGAGAAGTGAGGTAAATGACATATGAGATGACGTCCTTCCAAATCTTGCCATCTGCCCACTTTGACACTGCCATTTCAATAGCCATTGTTTTCCCAGCTGCTTTCTCTCCCACCAGAAACACATTCAAGTCCTTTGGAGACACAGTGGTTGTAGGGTTATATGCAACATCAAGTTGGTTGAGAATTTCTATGATCATTCCTCTACAGAATTCATTATGAACATCCTTATGAAGGCACCTCCCCCACTGAAGTAAGAAAGTTTTCTTTGCAAGGACTTTGTGTGTTTCTCTGTTACCTGTTGGTGAGTACAAGGCAGAAGAAAGGCAGAACATAGATAAAAATTCAAGATACAGACAAACAAACAAATTCACCCAGAGTCTCTACTTATTAGCAACACAGCTATATTTACCATCACATTGTTTTAGAAGACTGCATAGACCCAGGTTTCCTCAATAGAATTAAATAATGTAAAATTCGCCCAGACAATAGTATTTGTAGGTACCTTTTCCCATCACTTGTGGATCCCTCAACATCTTCCCTCTCATGGGTCTTGGCATCTGAAACACCTTATTTCTTTTTCTGTTTGTGGTTCCACAATATGTTATACAGCCTTTAGTTATAACACATTATTTTACATCAAATTTTTTCTTTGAGGGAATGATTCTTGAGATCAGAGACTGTTTCTTGTCTGTATGTGGCTCACAGCAGCTATTACATCAACTGTTAATTATACGTTAATCTTTTCTCTGTTTTCTTGGTCACACGCATTATTACCTTATTCCTGATCATTTAGTGAGTCACAAGGTAAAGTGATATATGGACTAAACTTTACATCTTTATCATAGAGGCATTTCCATTTCTCCTGAGAATATATAAGGGTACACACTCACTGTAATAAGAAAACATCAGATTAAAAAGAAAAACATTTAAAGTGATCACAGAGCTGTGGATATAAAAATGAATCTAAATAAATGAATTTCTAGAGAAAGATGAGCTCCTCCTTGGTGAGCAGACACCTAAAGGTGATTTTATTTCTGGAGCAATGGTAGACACAAGAGGAAGGAGAATTTTGTTGGAGTAAAAGTCAATTGCACCAGGGCTGATGTGGCAGACTGCAGTGTTACAGATGTGGCTCTCCCCAGATGAAATATCTCCAATGGATAGAGAGGCCTGATACCACCCTCAGCTGACTAAACGGCTTCCAGGTCCTGACCCAGCTCATTTGAGCCTAAACACCCTGGTAGAAGAAAGTACAAGTCTTTTCAGGGATAAATCATGTTTCTTTTTCTACTGTTTTTATAGACAATGTTTGGCATGCCATAAAAAAATTGAGATTTAAAGACGCAGGAAACCATATGGTTCTTGTCCTTTTCCACTGATTTATTTCACTTAGCATGGTACTTAAGATCACATCTAATTAAAACCCTTAAAATCCCAGAGGAAAAAAGAAAACCATGATTCATCATCAAGAAGGAAAAAAAGTGATACAACACACTCACCTATGACCTAGGTTTTGGAATTAAGAATTCAAGATTTTATAATAATTTTCTTATGTAATAAAAATTATATTGCATGCATTATGGATTATATATAAATACTAGTTCTTGGAGGAAAAAAGCCAGTATGAGTGAATAGAGAGAATCTTAGCAGAAAAAGGGAAACCACAGAAGGAATCAAATGGAAGCACTATAACTAAAACACACAATATTTGGAATGAAGAATTCATTGGAATGGCTTAACAGAAGATGGCACACAGCAGAAGAAAAGATTGGGGAACACCAACATGGAATTTGTCTCTATCCTGATTTAAGTGCACACACATACACACACACAAAAAGATCAACAAACTCCATAAACCATCAGCGTACAGTGGCACAAAAGCAAGGAATATGAGTATAAAATACATATAATTACAGTTCCAGAAGACGGTGAAAGAGGACAACTACAGAAAAGATATGAGAGACTAACTAATGACTTAGAAGTTACAGATGTTGAAAGATATTCAAGTTACCATTATCATGTGTCCTGGCTCCCTTTCACCATGGTGCCCTCCAGGTGAACTTCCTTATGTGATGGCTCAGGGTACCACACACACCTCCCCCAAGTGAAGGTGGAGACCCACCACCTTGGAAGTCAGGGGGTCACTTCTGCTGTACCCTATTATCCCAAATAGTCAACGCCCCCTGTGCTATAGGGAGAAGTGACACGAATGCCACTTCTCAGTGGCAGGAATGTCAAGACCTTGCAGACATTTAAAAACTGTCACAGCCTGCTCTAGCCACTACTTAATTCCTCCTGTATGTACTCCTCACTCACCCCCAATGTACATACAAAAAGTCTCATTTTTACAGTACTGGGCTTGAGGTCCAGTGTTGCATCTACACAGGTCCAGGCATAGATGAGGTTCAGATTCAGATCCTATTTCTCTGAGGACCAATGAGTTAAAAGACAGTGTATCCACCTGCCCCAAACCCAACATCAAACAGTGACATGAGGATGGGACAATCAAAATAGATACTCTTACTCAAAAAGGAGAGCAAAGGTGGGAAGTAGACAGGAATAATTAGTCTGTAGCAATTCTGAAATACAGCCTGATGTCTTTCCAGTTTTGCTATTAGGACCCAATGTTACTTCTTGGTTCTCTATGGTTCTTGCTTCCAGCCACTGAGATCTCCATTCTGCCCAGAATCATCCTTCCCTTCCCATGAATATTCTCTATATTTGCATCTTATTGACTCTTAGACTATTGCCTGCTCATAGAAGTTTAGGGGTACACAAGTCTCTTTCATTTCAGATTGCCTCTGTTCCTTCCAGTCCAAGTTGATTTTTTTTTAAAAAAACTTGTGGCTTTCTTATATATCAGTTTATAACCCATTTTATTACACAAAAGCCATGTCCACAGTTTTTAGAGACAAGCTTTTCTCTCCTCTGTGAGGCTGCTGGTGGACAACAGTCCTCAAAATGATAGAATCTCTGCTATTAATAGAGAGGGTTGTGGGCTTAAACATGAGATAAACATGAAACCTGCAGGTATGCCTTCAGGATGCTTAATGCTTTTCCTGTTTAGAGAAAAAAATGCAGCTCTCTGCCAGCGTTAATTTAACATCATGCATAGGAATGCTACATTTTCTAGGATTTGACATTTTCAGCGATTGTGAATTACTATATTTTGTAAATGGAAATATCACTACTAAAAACAGAATATTATAAATAGAATGATGTCATTTGTTTCCAAAGACTATTAATATACCAGAGTGATGCAAATAATAATAATAATAATAATAATAATAATAATAATAATAAAAGCAAGATATTTTATGGCAACCTTTGCGGGTAAATTTATGACTATAATCCATGAGTTATCTTGGGGTAAATGCTGCAGCTGCAGGTGCCACCAGCAAGTATTCTCAGGGCAAATGGAAAATGGGTTAAAACCTCTGTAGCTGATTTAAAGCACTCATCAGGCATGACCTTAAATTTCTCCCAAGTTTTAATAAGGAGTTTTAGCATTACATCCTGAATTTGATCTTTTCCCAAAGCCCTTTCATGAGCATCCTCTGTGGTCAGCAAAACCTATCTGAGAAATCGTATTTCCTCTAAAACTTAACAGTTTGTTCTTTAGTTCATGTATCTATTCTCTTTAATCATGAGCAGAAGAAATGAGGTCACATTTTTATTCTTCCAGAAACATCCTCATCTTCAAGGTCATAATGTACATTTCCTACCACACATTACTTGAGGCAACCAGCTTGCTAAGCATTCCACCACTGTATAGGAAGTAGTCTGTCCCTCCATGTTTCAATAACATCTCTCTCTTACTTGCATTTATGTAAGCCATCACTGAAAGCTTTATTGAAAACTTCCGCAGGGTTCATCACATCCTCCTAACAATTTCATCTCCAATTCAGTGTTACATGTTCTAGTTTCTTTCTTTAATGGCAGCAGTCTATTTATCTTACACCACACACACACACACACACACACACACACACACATTCAAAATGTATTAAAGACTTAAATGTAAGAACTGAAACTGTAAAATTGGTGAACAGAAACATATGAGAAATGCTTCTTGACATCATTCTTGACAATGATTTATTGAATATGACACCAAAAGCAAAGACAGACAACTGAGACATCAACCCAAAAAGCTTTTGCATATCAAATGAAACAATTGACAAAATGAAAAGGCAGCCTTCAAAATAGGAGAAAATATTTGCAAACCACCTACTGATAAGGGTTAACATATAAAATACAGAACTCATACAACTCAATAGCAAAAAACAAATAACTTAATTAAAAAAAGGGTAGAGGACTTGAATAGACATGTTTCCAAAGATGACATACAAATGGCCAACAGGTATGTAAAAAAATGTTTAACATCACTAGTCATTAGGAAAATGCAAATCAAAACCACAATTAAATGTCATTTCACACCTCTTATGAGAGCTATTATTTAAAAAAAAAGTGAAAGGTAACTGTGTTGGTGAGTATGTGAACAAATTGGAACCCTTGTGCACTGTTGGTGGGACCATAAATGGGTGCAGCCACTATGCAAAACAGTATGAAGTTTCCTCAAAAAATTAAAAATAGAGCTGCCATATGATCTAGCAATTCTACTGAGAATGTATTGGAAAGAATTAAAGCCAGGGTTTCATAGAGATATCTGTACCCCTAAGTTCATTGCAGCATTATTTACAATAGCCAAGATATGAAAACAATCTAAATTTCCATAAACTAATGGGTAGAGAAAAAGTGGCATATACCTGCATCGGAAGATTATTCAGCCTTAAAGAAGAAAATTCTATTGTATGTTACAACATAATGAGCACTGAAGGCATTATGCTAGGAGAGAAATAAGCCAGCCACAGTGGGACAGACACCTCATATAAGTAGAATCATACAATATGTAAAATAGTCAAACTCATAGAAGCAGAGATTAGAATGGTGGTTGCCAGAGGATGGGGGGAGGGGAAACAGAGTAGTTGCTTATCGGATATAAAATTTCAAGATGGATATAAAATTTGCAAAATGAATAAGTTCTAGAGATCTGTTGTACAATACACTATACTTAATAGTACTACTGTTTTACACATTAAAAATTTGTTAGAAGGGTAGATCTCATGTTAAGTGTTCTCATCATAATAAAACATAGATAGATAAAAGATAGTTCTAAGGGGAAAAAAAGAAAATGACAGGACAATTACAAAACATAAAAATAAAGAAAAAAATTACCAGGAATTGATTCTGAAAAGAAATACAAGGAAATAAAATGAGCTTCCCACCATTTCTTCA